AGCCGTAAGCGAGCCACTGATCCTATATGGTCAGTCAAAACTTACAACATAGATAAAGTGGACATCAAAGCAGACGAGCCTAACTTGTACTACTTGAGGGATGGGCCAGGTAGGGGGTTTGTAAGAGCGGAATTATTGATCGTACCGTACGGCACAGTGTTACCTCCAGCATAGCGGTGTCCCAGGATAGACCCGTTACTTCACCCATGGCCCCGGTAGCTCAGTAGCTCGTTTGTGAGGTGCGTTCGCATCCCCCAACTTTTTCATAGTAGGGGTAATGGTAGCAAGAGCTAAGGGTCCGACCAAAGCCTTATTTGTGAAATAAGGCTTTGCAGAGGCTTTGGTTGGAACTGGTCCAGAACCCCCATTGTATATACTACTCAACTGCTATCACTGACCACATGCAATTTGAACTTCACACCAATCAAGCTATACACCATAAACAAAATGCATTGATTTATGGCCCGAGTTCGGTCTCTGTCACATTATGTAATTACACAGACAGGCAGGTGTGATACTTGAACACATGACATGTTATCATGTCTGTTGATTGCAAAATGTTATACACAAAAACTGATCATGTATTTACAAAACCCAACATCTCTCTCTATATATACACACAATTAGCCGTGAAGGCATCTGCAAATGAACCAGCCGTTACACTTGAGTGAACACCCACCCGCTCTGACTGGGTTCGGTATCCCGGCTGCTTCGTTTCATGGGAAGTAAACCGAAGTACACAATTTTGCACTTGCGATTTGCGATTGTACGCTTATAATTTTGTTTATTTGTTTTTTCATAATCAGCAATGTGTATTATATGTCATGAAGAAGTGATAATTGTGTTTTAATTATGTTTGATTTTTTGGTTGCATGTGACCTTTAACAGAAAAAGGATTAGAATACAAACTCACACGACTGAACGAAAATAGAAGATTATTGGGGAATCAAGTTACTTCAATTGAAAATAGGCTTCTACAATTGATGTCAAGCTTTGATAACTATGACAGAATTCAGACAGAATATGCATTATGGAAAGAGAAATATCAGGCATATGATAATGCTCACAGTTCTTATCATAGTGAATTAGTGAGCCCACACGAACTAGAAGAATCTTCAACATGGTATGCTAGGAGAAAGAGTGACTTTATGAGTTTCAGAGAATCAGTAGACGTTTGGCTGAAGGATGCTGAAGAGAGGTTAGGCATAGATATTGTGTCAAATATAGTCAGGCCTGAAGATAGCATTTCACATGCTTGTTCGGATAGAAGTTATCAGTCGACAGTACAGTCCACTGCTTCTAAAGAGAGAATGAAAGTGGAAGCTAAGCGAGCAGAGTTGTTAGCACGCTCTTCAGTATTGAAACAGAAGCAAATGTTAGAGGAAGAAGAAAGTCGTCTTAGACACTTGAAAGAAGAAGTTGAGCTTAGAGCAGAATTAGCAGCTACAGAAGCAAAAATACTGGTATATAAGCAGTATGAGAGTGAAGATAGTCAGAAAGTAAATCAGAGGGATGATGCTTCAAACATTAAGGAGGACAAAGAGATTCATATCAGTCAGAGACGCCCCAGTACACCGAGAGTAGAATACTAGACAATGTTAGAAACTTTAGCTCATCAACTAGAAGACTTAGCAATCAGAATAGTGGAAACCCACCTTCAGATGATGGAAAACCAAAACCAAGTTCAGGTGAAGTGAAACCACAGTCTGACACATGATTACATGATATCTTGATCAAACAGAACCAATTGATGGAACTATTAATGGAGCAACTTATGTCAAAGTTACCATTTAGAGATATTTCTGCATTCAGTGGGAATCCGTTGGAATTTCATAGTTTCATGCCATCTTTTGAACACATCTTTGAAGAAAAAACTCATAACCCGAAAGATAGGTTGTATTATTTAGCGCAGTACACAAAAGGGGAACCTTATAAATTAGCGCAGAGCTGTATCCTTATGAGACGAGAAGATTGTTATTGGACAGCAAAGAATCTTCTCAGAAAGAAATATGGAGATCCGTTTAAGTTGGCTTCAGCATACATCGAGAAAGCGTTGAATTGGCCACCTGTGAAATCGGAAGATGTTCAGGCATTGAACAGTTTCTCACTCTTTCTAACATGATGTAAGAACAGCATGACCAATATTGAATATATGAGAGAGTTAGATCACCCTATCAACTTGGGAACTCTTGTTTCGAAGCTACCATTCAAGCTGAGGGAGAGATGGAGAATGCAAGCCCATTTAATCCAAGAAAAGCAAAGAAGATATGCTGATTTCATAGATCTTGCTGAATACGTGGAGGAACATACAGAGATAATATCCAACCCACTGTACGGCAATATTGTGGAAGACAAAGCATCTAAGACTAAAGTACAACCAACCAAAACAAGCAAATACAAAAGTTCAAGCTTTACCACAGTATTGTCGGAAGTTGAAAATTCCAAGGCAAGGACGTTTGAATCCCCAAAACACACAGATATGAAATCCGAAAGGAATACATCGGAGAGTTATACAGATAACAAAATATCTAGTGAGCAGCAGACAAATGGGAGTAAAAGTGCTTTTAGATCTCCATGTCTATATTGTCATGCTGAACATTCCTTGGAAATGTGCAAGCGACTGCGCAACAAGCCAAATGAAGAGAGGTTAACATTCCTTAGGTCCAAAGGCCTTTGTTTCCGGTGTCTTAACCATGGGCACATAAGTAAAGATTGTACCAAGAAACTTTCATGTGAACTCTGTGGAAGAACACATGCTACAGTATTGCACTTTAATAACAAGAATAATCTTCACCCGACAGGTTCATCAGCTCCAAAGGAAGTTGCAAGTAATCATGTAACTGTCTGTGATGCGAAGGATACTGGGGCCAGAAACAGAGAGTGTGGCATGCCTATTATCCCAGTACGAGTAAATGTAGACAATGGGGATGAGTGTGTAGAGACTTATGCTTTCCTTGACAGTAGCAGTTCAGGTACATTCTGTACAGAAAACATCATGAAGAAACTTAGAGTAGAAGGGAGAAGGTCTCAAATCACAATACACACATTGGGACAGGACAAAGAAGTTGACAGCTTTCTTTTGAGAAATCTTGAAGTCACAAGTCTGGATGGAGATAGTGTGATTAAATTACCAGATATGTACACTCAGAAACAGATACCAGTCTCTAGGTCTGATATGTATGTACAAGAGGATCTCAAACAATGGTCATACTTGAAGGAAGTAAACTTGCCTACAATCAATGCTGAAGTTGAACTTCTCATAGGAAATAATGTTCCGCAGGCTATGGAGCCATGGCAAGTTATTAACAGTAAAGATGAAGGACCATATGCTGTCAAGACATTGCTTGGGTGGACAGTGAGCAGTCACATGAGAGGAAGCAGTGATGGTCAGAGCAAAACACAGTTTTCAGTCAACAGAATCATGCATGATGTGAGAACAGATTTGAATCAAGAGTTAACAGACCAATTCAATCATAATTTTAGTGAAAGTACAGCAGATGAAAACTTCGTTAAATGATCAACTGTTACAAGGACCAGATCTCACTAGCTCGCTTCTTGGTGTGTTACTCCGATTCAGACAGGAGCCGATAGCAGTTATGTCTGATATAGAATCCATGTTTTACCAAGTGAATGTCAATCCAGATAACTATGATGTATTGCGTTTCCTCTGGTGGACTGATGGAAACATTGACGAAGATATCATAGGGTATCAGATCAAATAAGAAAGTAAGAATATTTATGGATAACAACTTCTTTATTATATATGATGCGACGTTTCGGTATGGATTCTTATACCGTTGTCAAGCAAGAGTGAAGTACTACAGCACAGAACAGGCTTATATACATGAACAGGGATTAAGTAATAACAACATGTAGGACTGAATGAGGGGGATTAACAATAACAACAAGGCACGGTGGCAATAATGTAGTGACAATAGGAAGCCAATGGTGGTGGATGTAAAAAACAAAATATACATGCTGATGAGATTAATTAACAATGATGGCTGAGGTGCTCTAATCTGTTGTTTTTATGAGATCATTGTATGCAGAAGGGATGAGATATCCCTGGTCTCTGTTGATTGAGGGCTTGTGTCTCCGGATTTGAACTGCTTCTGCAAGTTTCCTTTTGGTGAAGTCCTGGTGGTTTTTTGGATAATATGTCCACATTGTCCCAAATTATGTTGTGATTGGGGCAGTTGATGATGTGGTCTGATAATGCCGATTTTCTATCAGATTTAGTGGTAGATGATAAGTGTTCTTTGATTCGGATATTTATGGGCGGGAGGTTTAAGCCTACATAGGCCTCGCCACAGTCACAGTTGATTTTATAGACAACACCTTTGGGTTGATGTTGTCGTTTAGAGGTGTTCCTGCCATTAAGCTTTCAGTAGGGTTTTAGTGGTGTAGAGCTGGTAAAGTAGGTTTCGATGCCTGCTTCTCGCTTGAGGAGACGGCTGATGTGGTGAGAGGTTTTCCCTATGAAGGGGAGGGAGATACGAATAGGTGCTGGTTCAGGTTTGTTGGAGGCCGGTTTTCTTGTTGGGTGGAGTGTGGTGCTGATAATTTTATCGACTAGTTTAAAGCGGGTAGTGGTTGAACTTGGTGAAAACATGGCGGGAGGTGCTGTATTTCTGTAGTGGGACTGGTGGAGGAAAGGTTGATGGCTCGTCTGGTGAGGGTGGAGATAATGCCAGTTTTGGTTCTCAAAGGGTGGTTGGAGTCAAAATGAATGTATTGGTCGGAGTGGGTTGGCTTTCTATAGACACTGGTACGGATCTTGTTGGCTGGAGTTCTGGTTACAAGGACATCTAGAAAGGGAAGTTGACCACTGGATTCTGTTTCTAAGGTGAATTGGACCCGGGGGTGCTGTTGGTTGAGGTGTTGCAGGAGGGCTGCTGGGTCTTGGTCTTGCCGAAGGATGACAAACGTGTCATCGACCTTCCTGTACCAGCAGGTTGGTTTGATGGTTGAGGTGCTGAGTGCTTGCTGTTCGAAGGAGGTCATGTAGATTTCTGTGAGTATTGGGGACAGAGGGGAGCCCATGGGCAGGCCGTGGATTTGTTCATAGTAGTCGTCTCCCCAGGTGAAGTAAGTGGAGGTGATGCAGGCAGAGGTGAGGCAATGATGGAGTCAGTGGTGAGGTTGGTGTCAAGGGGAGTTTCTAATTCAGAGATGCGTTGGCGGAGGATTTGGAGAGTTTCTTCTATGGGGACACTTGTGAAGAGGTCCACAACATCGTAACTCAGGATCTGGTCTGCTTCAGTTATTTTGAGGAGTTTGTTACAGAAATCCGTTGAGTCAGAGATGTAGGAGTCCGCTGTTTTACCGAGTGGGGCAGGGATTTCCGTTAGGTGTTGGGCGGTAGTGTAGAACACAGTGTCTCTGGAGCACACAAGCAGTCTGGCCTTGGGTGGGGTCTTGTGGATTTTTATCGTGGCTCTGGCATACGGTGGCTGTGGGTTGGATGTGGCTAGTTTGTAATATAGTTGCTGGCTGATTTCGTACTTCTCTTTCAGTTGTTTGAGGCTGGCTTTATGTTGGCGGCTGAGTTTGGCGGTGGGGTCTTTCTTGATCTTGCGGTAGGTGGTTGGGTCATGGAGGATCTTGTTGACCATGCTGTGAAAGTCCGGTGTGTTCAGGATGACTGTGGCCTTGCCCTTGTCGGCTGGGGCAATGGTGATTTCCTTGTCGTTTCGTAGGTGATGGATGGCTTGTTTTTCGGCAGCTGTGAGGTTGGGTGGTTGGGGGCTGGCTTTGGCAAGGATGTCGGTTATCTGGTGGCGTAAGTAGTCAATCTTACCTCCTGGCGCTAGTTGTTGGAGTCCCTTTTCAATGTTGGTGATGAAGTCGTCGTGGTTGCGGAGTGGTGTGGTTGGAATGAACTTTAGTCCCTTGGAGAGTACGTTGACCTGCTGTTCAGTGATGTTTTTATCACTGAGGTTGACAACAGTCTTTCTGAGATAGTTGGATATGTTGGTGGCTTTCTTGGGAGTGGACTTGGGCTGGCTATTCATTAGTTCTTGGAGTTTCTTTACGTGCTTGGTCTTGGTCTTCAAGCACAACTTTTTGTTGGACTGAGTCTGGGCTGAACGGAGTGAATTGAGGATCTCTGGTTGGAGTGTGTCGGTCAACTGGTTGATGTGGTCGGAGATATGGTTGAGGGGTGCTGGCTTTGGCGTTGCGGTGATGCTGAATTCTTTCCCGTACAAGTCTTTTGGAGGCATTATGGAGGATGGCTCTGGCCGCAGGTGAGTTGATAGGTGATGCAAGTTTGAGGCCTTTGGGTATGATGTCTTGATCTCTACATCTCATGAGGAATGTGAGATGGTTGCTGGCTAGTATGTGCTTCTTCTCTAGTCGGTTGAGGCTGTTGATGGTGTTGATTGCCACGTCTCCATGCAGACGGCGGATGATCTGTTTGATTGGCATTTAGAAGTTGGTGACTAATAAGAAAGTAAGAATATTTATGGATAACAACTTCTTTATTATATATGATGCGACGTTTCGGTATGGATTCTTATACCGTTGTCAAGCAAGAGTGAAGTACTACAGCACAGAACAGGCTTATATACATGAACAGGGATTAAGTAATAACAACATGTAGGACTGAATGAGGGGGATTAACAATAACAACAAGGCACGGTGGCAATAATGTAGTGACAATAGGAAGCCAATGGTGGTGGATGTAAAAAACAAAATATACATGCTGATGAGATTAATTAACAATGATGGCTGAGGTGCTCTAATCTGTTGTTTTTATGAGATCATTGTATGCAGAAGGGATGAGATATCACCAGACGAGCCATCAACCTTTCCTCCACCAGTCCCACTACAGAAATACAGCACCTCCGCCATGTTTTCACCAAGTTCAACCACTACCCGTCGAAACTAGTCCCTCACCAGACGAGCCATCAACCTTTCCTCCACCAGTCCCACTACAGAAATACAGCACCTCCGCCATGTTTTCACCAAGTTCAACCACTACCCGTCGAAACTAGTTGATAAAATTATCAGCACCACACTCCACCCAACAAGAAAACCGGCCTCCAACAAATCTGAACCAGCACCTATTCGTATCTCCCTCCCCTTCATAGGGAAAACCTCTCACCACATCAGCCGTCTCCTCAAGCGAGAAGCAGGCATCGAAACCTACTTTACCAGCTCTACACCACTAAAAACCCTACTGAAAGCGAATGGCAGGAACACCTCTAAACGACAACATCAACCCAAAGGTGTTGTCTATAAAATCAACTGTGACTGTGGCGAGGCCTATGTAGGCGAAACCTCCCGGCCCATAAATATCCGAATCAAAGAACACTTATCATCTACCACTAAATCTGATAGAAAATCGGCATTATCAGACCACATCATCAACTGCCCCAATCACAACATAATTTGGGACAATGTGGACATATTATCCAAAAACCACCAGGACTTCACCAAAAGGAAACTTGCAGAAGCAGTTCAAATCCGGAGACACAAGCCCTCAATCAACAGAGACCAGGGATATCTCATCCCTTCTGCATACAATGATCTCATAAAAACAACAGATTAGAGCACCTCAGCCATCATTGTTAATTAATCTCATCAGCATGTATATTTTGTTTTTTACATCCACCACCATTGGCTTCCTATTGTCACTACATTATTGCCACCGTGCCTTGTTGTTATTGTTAATCCCCCTCATTCAGTCCTACATGTTGTTATTACTTAATCCCTGTTCATGTATATAAGCCTGTTCTGTGCTGTAGTACTTCACTCTTGCTTGACAACGGTATAAGAATCCATACCGAAACGTCGCATCATATATAATAAAGAAGTTGTTATCCATAAATATTCTTACTTTCTTATTAGTCACCAACTTCTAAATGCCAATCAAACAGATCATCCGCCGTCTGCATGGAGACGTGGCAATCAACACCATCAACAGCCTCAACCGTAAAGAAACTCAAGAACTAATGAATAGCCAGCCCAAGTCCACTCCCAAGAAAGCCACCAACATATCCAACTATCTCAGAAAGACTGTTGTCAACACTCAGTGATAAAAACATCACTGAACAGCAGGTCAACGTACTTCTCCAGGGGACTAAAGTTCATTCCAACCACACCACTCCGCAACCACGACGACTTCATCACCAACATTGAAAAGGACTCCAACACCAGCGCCAGGAGGTAAGATTGACTACTTACGCCGCAACCACGATAACCGACATCCTTGCCAAAGCCAGCCCCCAACCACCCAACCTCACAGCTGCCGAAAAACAAGCCATCCATCACCTCACGAAACGACAAGGAAATCACCATTGCCCCAGCCGACGAAGGCAAGGCCACAGTCATCCTGAACACACCGGACTTTCACAGCATGGTCAACAAGATCCTCCATGACCCAACCACCTACCGCAAGATCAAGAAAGACCACGTTCTGTTTGTGTTTTCGGTGTTG